CATGTCATCCTTGACTGTATTATTAATCACTTGTTGTATTTCTCAACGTATACAAGACAATTCATGCATGTCATCCTTGACTGTATTATTAATCACTTGTTGTATTTCTCAACGTATACAAGACAATTCTTACATGTCATCCTTGACTGTATTATTAATCACTTGAGTTGTATTTCTCAACAATTCTCACATATTACAAAAATATCGTGCTCTTTTTTTTTTTTTAAATACATGAAATTAGAAGACTCGAACAAAAGAAAATATGAGTTTTAATTATTACAAAACAATTACTGCTTGTTTTCTAACCCATAAGCTTTACCCTAACAATATCGTTAGGCTTGCTTATGGAGGTGTTGTAGTGAGAGCAGTTCATCAGACATGTTGTAGTTAACATAGTTCTTGCAGACTTTTTGGGAAATGGCATAATGTAATGTCTGGTCCTCCTCCCCTCTCTCTCTTTGAGGTCCCATTAATACAGTTACTTTTCTAAAGGCTCTGTCACAGCTGCCTCCAAAGGTCTCGGTTGTTATCCAGTCTACTTTAGATGAAGCATCGACTCGTACAGATAACGCTAGTTGTTTTATCTCCATTTTACATGGTTGAATAGTTAATTATTGTACAAGCTATCCATTGGTTACAATTTCTACTAATGCTGCTGAAAAATATTTTCAATGTCTTGTTAAATCCACGGATTAAACATTTCTTTTTAGGGATTTATTTGATGATGGCCAGCTCTCTTAAAGTAGAATACTTGTAGCTTACAGACTCATGATATCGAACTAAAATACTAGGTGGAATTATATACAAGCTACGATATTTTACTTTCTTTTTTATTTTATATTCTTTTTACAATCTTGATTATGCAGATGGTGTAGGAGGAGCATTTGGGTTTCTTATTTGTTGGGATCTCAGTTTATTGCTTATGCATATTGTCAATTTTTTCCCCACTAAGGGTTTACTAATCAATGTTGTTATTATTTCAATACGAGTTGATCTTTGTTCTCCCTTAGTTAAAGATCAGTTTCTTGGGCTGTTTGAGGAAGTGGACACATTGGTAATTATTTGTGTGGATCTGATGTTATAGATTAAAGTGTTCTTGCTGATGAATCCTTTCTGAATGCGTACAACTTTGTCCTTTTGAGTGATGGTTTTCTTATGTCACAGTAAAACTGGCAAACTTGATCATCTAGATTTGATTCTTGTTCTAAGTGTTAAATCTACTTTGTGTGTTTTAACCAAACTTGATCATATAGATTTGATTCTTGTTCTAGGTGTTAAATCTACTTTGTATGTTTTAACCAAACTTGATCATATAGATTTGATTCTTGTTCTAAGTGTTAAATCTACTTTGTGTGTTTTAACCAAACTTGATCATCTAGATTTGATCCATGTTCTAAGTGTTAAATCTACTTTGCATGTTTTAACCAAACTTGATCATATAGATTTGATCCATGTTCTAAGTGTTAAACCTACTTTGTGTGTTTTAACCAAACTTGATCATCTAGATTTGATCCATGTTCTAAGTGTTAAACCTACTTTGTATGTTTTAACCAAACTTGATCATCTAGATTTGATTCTTGTTCTAAGTGTTGAATCTACTTTGTATGTTTTAACTGACACATTTATTAAGATTTACTTTCCTTTTTGGATGACATAAAAGACATTTTCTTTTAACATGCATATAGTGATTAAATAAATCAAATACATCCATTTTGGCAATTATGTGTGATTACTTTAACTCATTACTGAAATCAAAAATCTGTTATTTTATCTTTTTAAACTTATTGGTGACCAAGTCATAGAAATCCACTTGGAAAGTATTTAAATAGACGAAAATCAACAACCTGATATTACCTATATACTTCTTCAAAAGTTTTGTAATTTATATAAATTAAACTTTGTCTGTTTGGCATTGTGATGGTCCCCCAACCTGCTGGGTCAGCCGAAGTAAGTTTATGGACTCCCTGCAGTGAGCACGGTGCAGATAGCTGCATTGTGTAGCTTAGCACTTTAAAGCAACAACAGCATCTCTTCCATCAATATTTGCATAGAACAGAAACTAGACATTCTGTTTCATGTCAATACAGGCCAAAGACGAGGGGTTATAATACACAATTATTTCTAAATTATACAGGGGGTTGGAGTGCAGTATAACATAATTCCCATGATTTGGAAAAAATACCTGAATACACTTGAATAAAAATATTACGCTAGTCTTAATTAAATCAACGTCGGGCAGTCCATGTATTGATTTGAATAATTGGTTTATTAATATTATCCACTAGTACAAAATATTTACTTTCCCAAACACTTCTGGACTCGGGCCTAATTATGCAGTTTAGCTTTTAGACTACACAATCAAGTTGTTTCTCTGATACTGGACTCTTGATTTACTCAATGATCAAAGAAGAAATGATCTTTTGATCAAATGTGTATTTACTCAATTAAGATACTATAACTTATATAATTACACACCCAAAAACTTAACTTACTGTACTATAATAAAAACCGAGTGCATACAGAGCCCTCTCTCACCGATATCATTTACAAGACAGATAATTGTAGTACAAAATATATCAACAAACTATTATATAATTCAGATGCATGTAAAAAACAAAACATTAATTTTACACAATGTATTATAAATTTATTTTGGAAGAATGAAATTAATGGGTGTTTTAGATATGAAGTTGTCATTCTTTAAATTAAGACCAGGTTATACTGGCTATGCCCTAAAAACATTGATTTGTTTTTTAAATTTCGAAACATGTCCGATAAGAAACGGAATCCTAAAATTTGAAGCTAAAACATTTCTAATTATCCGATAATTAGCAGGTTTTTTATTGCATTAAAGGCTTAACTGTGCTGTCAATTCTGAATATTACAGACTTTTTCATTAAATCACAAGTGTCTATTCGCAGTTTTAAATGATATATGAGCAGTACCATACTTTTTAGGATGATTATATACAAACCAATAATAAGGCCTAAGTATGTATTCGTCAGTAGCAATGCAATACATTGTCAATTGGAGAACAAAGGAGATTATGAGTGTAAAATCATAACACCAGGTTTAAGAGTTTCGTCACTACTAAATTACATTTTTCATGGCCATTAACACGAAATTGACGTTTAAAGGGAAGCCAACACATTTGCTAATATGTCTTTCTATTTTAAGTTAAATAATAAATATTCAATCTAATATGGAATTAAACTCGATGTGTTTCTCCGTGTTTTTATTTAAAATAATTTAAAGTGTCTGAATATAATAACCCTTCCTGTTCTATGATCAATGAGATTTCTTATTACGACTTGTAAACTTCTTAAGGCAATTAACGTTAAATGTGGCAACTTAATAGAACTATTACACATTAAAACTAGAACAGTACACACGTATTTGTTTGTTTTGAATTTTGCGCAAAGCTATACAAGGGCTATCTGCGCTAGCGCCCCTAATTTAGCAGTGTAAGACTAGCGGGAAGGCAGCTAGTCATCACCACCCACAGCCAACTCTTGGGCTAATTTTTTACCTGCAATTAGAGGTATAGACCGTCACATTATAACGCCCCCACGGCTGAAAGGGCGAGCATGTTTGGTGTGACGGGGAATTGAACCCACGACCCACAGACTGCGAGTCGAGCGTCCTAACCACCTGGCAATATCGGGCCTGCACACGTATTAAATGATTTCATCCGTCGAAAGGGTCTGATATAAAAAAGAATAAAACAAACTAATTGTAAAATATGTCATAAAATGTGCAACTAAATAAGCAGCTTGGTAAGTGCTATTAAGCTAGCCGCCAGGTGACGGGGTTGAAAATTTAGGCAATTATTCGCATGCGCATTACGATATTTGGTAGTGCACATAGATATGTAAAGGTTTGTATCTCGAGTTAGACGTAGGGCATGTTGAATTTAGCGTGCGTGGATTTGTAAAGAACAATATTATAATTATTACATCAATGTTCGTTTCATAAAATATAGTACTGGCGTTAGAGCTACATCCATAGCAGTATGAGTGACGAAAATAAAAGAGGACAAAAAAGGAAAAAGAAAAATTACTATCGAACTTTGCCAAAAAAGGGAAGAAGAGGACATCTCGAGCCTGGGATGAAAGGTTTTCTGGTGACATGTAATAACAAAGAAAGAGAATGTATAAGAGAAGCTTATAACGTGCTTAATGAATATGCTGATAAAATATATGGCCCTGAAATGGTATGAATTGAACCTTGAAGTTACTTAAGTTTAAGTGTAACATATATAGTGAGTTTAGTATACTGACTACAATATGACTTATAAGGGACTATTTGGTCCTTCAAAGTGCAACAGTGGTCTACCCGTTCTTCCCAAAGTAAAGAAGAAATACACACCCAGCAGAAGAAAAGCAAAGCTCAGTCATCTCATAGTCTCCAATGAAAACTTTGCCATTGTTATTCTTATAAAGACCAAGTTTCCATTTAAATTGCTGACCTTTAACCTATTAAGAGCTATAGATTATGGATAAAATTTCATTACTTTACACTATAAATATTGTTATGAAATCTTTGAGCTTTTAAAATAAAAATGTGTAAATTTTCAATCTTAGAGGGTATTTAGATTTGTTAAATGATAAGATTTTATAGATATAAAGCTGACCAACTGTGATAAACTCATCTCACTGTGTGTTATTGTTTAGATAATTTTAGTAAAACTTTTAAAAACAACTTTTAAGTTAAAGAAGACCAAAAACTGACATGCTAACAAATCAGTTATAGATTTGAAGTTAATATAAGGCTTATCTAGGTATTAACAAGAGGTTTATCTAGATCCTAAGTATGAAGCTTGTCTAGGTCTAAAAGTAAAAACTCAAGAGTGGACAAGGTACCAAAGATTATTATCAAGGTCTCCCTTCCACTCATCAGAATGACCAAAGCATTAAAACCAAGTTAAATGTTTTTTCTTCATATAGCTTTTCAATGTCACTCATGCAAATTATCTAAAACCCTAATAATTCTTGGTGTGTTATAAGATTGACCTACAACTCCAACTATTTCATCATAGTAGCCCATCAATAGTCTATAATAGCCCTCTAGTCTATAAGTTCAAAGTTGGGGATGACTGGCTTAGGTGGTCCTAGTGTAGCTTATGGAAAAGTTTCCCTTCAGGTGTGTTAGAATTTGCAACTTTGAAGGGGTGTGAGGGAAGATTGGATGAGTATTTAGAGATCAGGGATGAATATAGGAAAATAGGTTTCTCTGAGAAGCTTTGGATATAAAATGGGATAGTGTAGATGGACCAAATGTTTCTTCGTTATCCCTTACTAATGGAAGTGTGTTAACGTACATTTTTCAACATTGAAACTTAGTCAGTGAGCTTTAATGTAAAAAATAAGACCATCCAGGTTTTCTTGAATAAGTATTCTGTTACTGATGAGGTCCCCTGAATATTTTACTTAGATAATAAGGGAACTCGCCCAGTTGTTATGGTTAATTCGTTACATTAAGTGTTAAATACAGAAACTTAAAACTTCAGTATCATTCAGTTGGTAGCTTGAGGTTGTAGGGCTTGTTCTATTTATTATTTCGGTCCAACCTTCATTAATGTGAATTAAACACACCACTTTTAGTTATGTACCACATTTCTCCTTTCGTGTAGTCCACTTACCGATGATTGGTGGTATTTCTCGAAGCTTCTCAGAATGTTGTAGCTCAAAAAAACAACCAATGTTGAAGTACGGAGAAAGTAGTTGGTAAATGTAGTGATCGACAGTGTCTTATCCCTTACTTTATCAAGCGTTAAAGAAGCAATTTAAAAATACTACAAAAATGAGCAGAAGTTTAATTTCCGTATTGTATACTTTAGTGTCATGGAGATGTTTCTGATGACCACGACATACAAGACTTGTTAGAAAAAGAGCTTCAAGCACTTCAAAAGACCAACAAGACTGAACGGCGTTTTCAGCAGGTGGATACCAATGTCAAGAACTGTTTGTTTATTGAGACTAAAGTAAGTGTTATCCGATTATTTTTAAGTATTGAAAAGATTTTTAAAATATAGATGAAATTTACACCCAAACTTACAAGTGCATTAATTTTGGCATGTGTACTAACATTCTTCTTCTTCTCAGTGACAGAAAAATCATGAAAGATAAATGCCACCCTAAATTACATTCGTAAGTTGAAGTTTGACAACATTATTTAGCCATTGTAGGTTTTTACAGATGAACCATCTAGAAAAATAATCGAATGATAAAGATTTGAACTAGAGAAACATCGTCAGAAGTAAAGGGTGATATTAGAATTTAACTTTTTATTTTTACTCAAAGAAACAGATGATAATTCGAGATTCATTTTACCGTTTCAAATCCAGTTAGCATTTAACAATGAAGCAGTTTTATTGTGAAGGATACATTAGACAGCATTTCGAGATTCATTTTACCGTTTCAAATCCAGTTAGCATTTAACAATGAAGCAGTTTTATTGTGAAGGATACATTAGACAGCATTTCGAGCGTGTGTGTATATAACCGTCTTCGTCATGGTTGTAACCTTTAAATAGTACATTTTGTTTTCTGTAGCTAACTTTATCTTAATGACATTTCCATTACTTTGCTGAGCAGGTTATTGACCCCTGTCAACTAGTTTCTACCATCTTGGACGATATCAGGAGCACTCAGAAGCAAAAGACGAGATATCTCTTACGAATGATTCCTGTGTCGGCAACATGTAAGGCTTTTGTGGAGAACATAAAAAAATCTGTGTCTGTGGTACTGGATGAGTATCAAGACTCATGGAGAAGACATGTTGGAGAAGACAATTCTTCTCCTTCATTTGCTATAATCTTTAAGGCTAGACACAATAATAGTCTTAGCAGAGAAGAAGTTATACGAGCGGTACTACAAGTGACAAAGGTGAAAAAACCCGATTGGCAGCCTGACTTGAAGGATCCTCTTTTAGTAATATTGGTTGAAGTAGTCCAGTCAGTTTGTTGTTTAAGTATACTGAAGAACTATTTCTTCTTTAGGAAATATAACCTTATAGAGTTATTAAGGTCTCCGTGTTTACAGTCCCTCACTAGAGAGGAATGCACCCAAGGAACAGAAAAACAAGACACTGGACAAAATGAAATATGTGTCAATGAAAAAACAGATATGACGGGCATTGAATCAAAACAGAGTGAATTAGAAACTTCAAAAGACACGGGTCATTCTAACGATATTCCCATACTTGATGATACCGACTCTTTCAAATCACCCATAACTAGCAAAGGAGAAAAAATTTCTGATGTGTAGTGTGAGAAGAACAGTGAATAAGATGCATGATTTAGAATAAATATCAATGAAAACTAATAATGACCAGATTTTGAATTTCAGTGTAACAAGAAAAATCAGTTTTATTTCCTAATAAAAAAATTGGTTCTAATGCACTGACCAGCTTGTGAAGTTTGTGTAAGCACTGCATCTCTGTTGTAGTTATATCTAACACTACTTTAGTCAAGTCAAACGAACCTTCAACCAAGCAGGTTATGGTGTATTGAACCTTTTTGTGTGCTTCGTTTGCTTTAATAAAAATATATATAAAAAAACAGTTAAAAGTATGGTTATAATGAAAATGGTTTTTCCTAACTACTAAGCATTACTGTGTATACGATGCAAGTGATTTCGTCTACATTATTAAAAAGCACCACCTAATACAGTGGCTGCACTGTAACAGAAAAAGTTTGTAATAAAATTTACCACTAGGAAAATTGAAACTAACGATATCATTTCAGAAGTGCCATTTTTTTTTTTTAAACATTCAATAATGAGCCGTCGTCATGAAACAAAGTTAATATTTCTTCACCATTGCAATGGAGTTTTTAAAAATAATACAAATTGATGGAGGTACACGTTTATAATTTATTGAAACTAAGTATTGGATAAAAGTCACTCTTCTTCAACTGTATAAGAACACAAACAGTGGTTGTATTTTTATTTACATAAAAATTAATATATTGTTTAACATAGCTGCATCTGAAACAAAACAGACATTTTGCAAGTTGTAATTGACTAATAAAACACTCCAAAAAAAAATCTTGTAACAATATAAAATGTACGTTAACCATCAGTAATAGGTCCATCTAAAGGCTATTAATTCTATCACGTTGAAACAAAGTTAGTTTATTATGAAATTAGTCCTAGAACTTTTATCTCGGTATAAAGCATGTCATGCAAATCATAAGGTTTTACATTAAATAGTTAAAATTCACGACACTTCTTTAACTGTTCCTGCTGTTAATACAGCGTACAAGATTTAACAGAATCTGATACACAGAATAATTTCCTTTAAATAACACAACAAGTAGCCTCACTGTTCTCAAACATCATATCTACTGTGTAATTTGTAATCACAGTTCAAGGTGACCTTATAAAGTCTTCCAACTTTACTGTAGAAAACCAACATTCCTTGAATGAAATATGGCAAAAAATTCTCTTTTATGTTTGGATTAATAAAGAATTTGACATGATTCATAATTTCAGCATCTAATGATGTTAGTAAGGAAGTGATGTTCAGGTCATCAGAACAGCCATTAATGAATAATGTTCAGGTCATCAGAATAGCCATTAATGAAGGATGTTCAGGTCATCAGAATAGCCATTAATGAATAATGTTCAGGTCATCAGAATAGCCATTAATGAATAATGTTCAGGTCATCAGAATAGCCATTAATGAATGATGTTCAGGTCATCAGAATAGCCATTAATGAATGATGTTCAGGTCATCAGAATAGCCATTAATGAATAATGTTAGTAAGGAAGTGATGTTCGGGTCATCAGAACAGCCATTAATGAATAATGTTAGTAAGGAAGTGATGTTCAGGTCATCAGAATAGCCATTAATGAAGGATGTTCAGGTCATCAGAATAGCCATTAATGAAAACTGAAGCTAGAAGAACTATGCTACAGTATTAAAAGAACAAGAGTTAAAGTCTGCTTTAATTATATATCTATTGAAAAGGATTCAGTTACCAAATACTTTCAGAAAAAAGCTTACCCCACTGAAGTAATACATATTGTCAAAAGCATTTGCTAATTTTAACTAGGAGAACAAGTGATTTTTTTTTTCTAGTTAGTACAAAAAAATTGCAACTACATATGCACTACTGTATATTTGAACTTCTTAAACATCATGAACATTTGTTCATAACCAGTATAAAAATTAATTAAAATGGCTTTAGCAAGAATTATGCATATTGCGATATAAAATTTTGTAGGTTCTCTAGAATTCTCATACGGCATATTCAATCAAAATTTACCATTCTATGTCAGTGATAGCATTTATATTTCAGGTGCTGTGTGCGAAAAATGGTGGATATCTACTGGAATAGGAAAATAGCCGATTTTCCTATACATTCGTTACATTTTACTGAAGCACTGCACTTCAAAATTAACAAAAAAACTTTTTATAAAAGTAAAGATTCTGGATTTCTATAAGATAAGTAACACTAAGCTTCTTATAACTAATTCAAGATAAAAATTATTTAGTTGTACAAGAAGAAAGGTGAACTTGTGGTGTACCAAAATTAACTTCCAAGATAACTGTGGAGTGTTTTTTTGATTTATGTAACAAAATGCGAGTATTTAATTCAAAAATACAACATCAAATTCTAAAGTATGCAAATTACATTTTCTCTGGTGAAGACTTGATATCATTGGTCAAAATTTTGCAATCATTAAAATCAGAATTTGCCTATACTAAAGGTTATTGTATTTTTGAATTAATTACTCAGTTCATTTGGTTTCCTCACTATACATCCAAATCAGAGTATATTTTGTCTTTGCAATAGGCCTAAAAGTAATTATTTTACACAGCATATATATCCAACTAATCACCTACTATTTTTATGAAAAAATTTATACTTTACAAAGTAATTTAGTAAGATATTGTTTTGAGATGTATAGATAACGTGTGTATCAATGATGGGTTAGTTTCTTTGGTGCGAAGTTTGTTGGCTCTCAAAAGGCAAAGTTCTGTCAAGAGTTTATGAACTGAAGGAAGAATTGAAATAATTCATGCACAATGAGTTCCAGCATACTAATCTGTTGAAAGACAAAAATTGGCCTACTTGGCTGATGTATTTGAGTACCCAAATCAGAAGCTGCAAGGGTGAAACGAGAACATAATGACATACACAGACAAGCTAAATGGATTCACATCAAAACTTCAACTTTGGAGAGAAGAGTTAGGGTATGGTTCACTCCAAATGTTCAAATGAGCTTCTAGCTCAAATCCAGATGAAAGGATACTCTCACTTATGGAGCAACTTATTTAGCTTGCTTCAAGTTTAGACACTATTTCAGATCATCTTGGACAGAGCAGTTTGATTGGATTCAAAATCCATTTGCAGCATCTTCAGAAGAATCAACAATGAGTTTCTCTTTGAAAGAAAAAGAAGAATTTCTGGATGTCAAGAATGAATGATTGCACCCCTGAACACAAATTCAAGAGATTCCATTAAATCACTTTTGGCTACACGTGAGAAAGAATATCCATAGATCTCAAAATCGAGTGATAAGTGTTCTGCTGCCATTTTCAACCACCTACACCTTCGTGAACTTAGTTTCTCTTCCCTGACACTTATAAAGAATCAGAAGAGGTCATGTTTAAAAAACGTGGATCAAGAGCTTCGTGTAGCTCTGTCCAGCATCAAACCAAATATTAAACAGTTACATTCATTGAAACAAGCTCACATTGAAATTATAGTAAAAAAAAAGTGAAGTCAAATATTTCTCATTAAAATTGTAGTCTATTTATGTTTCAGTTCGAAATATATGTTATTTCTTGCAATATTAGTACCGATTATTTTAAAAACATTTGGTGTGCCACAAACAGTTTGGGGTCTCATTTGAATTTCATGAAAGAATAAATAATTATCAAAAGAATAATTTAGTTCACGGTTATATATTGATAAATATTTTGCTATACAATATAAATTTTTGCTCCCAACAGAAAAAAATACTGATCTTAAAATATTTTTGTTACTTCATCAGTTAGTACACTTTGTATTGTGATTTAGATACACAAACAGTTTATAAGGTATTGAAACTTATACGTTGTGTTGTTTGCCCTAATTGAGATGCTTAATGCAGTATTGAAACTTAGGCCTACTTTATGCATTTGCCCTAAATGACATGCTTAATGCAGTATTGAAACTTTAGGCCTACTTTATGCATTTGCCCTAATTGACATGCTTAATGCAGTATTGAAACTTTAGGCCTACTTTATGCGTTTGCCCTGATTGACATTAAAGAAGATGTTTAAATGGTTACTTAGCAACACAATAACAAGTATTTACCATGCTTTATGTGATAATTTCAAATGGCTTGATTGTTGCACGTATCATGTGGCTGTTTAACAATTATTGATACGCAACAATTGTACAATGTATTTGCATAAATCTCACGATTAATTCTAGCATCATCTAAATGAGAGAATCCATGTTTCTCCTAGATATCTTACATACATAAATAAGTCTTGTCAAAGAATGTTTGCTCAAAAACTTACTTATATAAAGGAACTTTACATGGCAATTATTCTTTCCATATGCTTATTCTCTAGTTTTAATAAAAGAAATTATTGTATTTTATATATATTACACTTGAGGAATTCTAATAGGCTAAAGAAAGAGAGATTAATAATAAAGCAGATTGTAGTACAAAGGAAAAAAAATATGCTAAGTGCACAGAATGAAATTTTTAAAGATTCTACTCCATGAATATAAACCGTTACGATTAATATAAAATCCTGCCGTTCATACAATATCTTGACCTTTCCATAAAGTTGGTATTTGGTGACTGTGTTTGTGCTCCAGTTAATGCTGAAGGATTGTGCTTTTCAACAACAAACTCTGGGTATTTAAAATTACTGGTCTTGTCTCCGGGTGCACATGGATTCTTCCCTTCTAATACAATTTCAATCTCTTGAAAGTTTTGAAGTCTTTGAACATCTTTGTCTTTTCTGATTATTGTGTTTGGGAGCTTTCTTATCTTCAGAATCTGTAGGGGAAAAAAAAATAATATCCACTATTTTTAAAAAAGATTAAATTTGGCATCTATGTGAAAAATAATGACAGACACACACAAACAATAAAATAAAAAACTACGAATACGTGCTTTGTGGACCACATTTTTAAAGACGAATAACTGAGAATGGTATGAATGTATTTAGAAACATACTAATTAATTAATTCTAACACTAATACAAAAAGATTAGTACTTATTTTTTTATTTTTGTTATTGTCTTTTGATACTTTAGCTGTTAAGATAAAGAATGCTGAGTAACAAATGTTACTCTCAACCTACTCAACAGTAGAGCTCCGACTTTTGCTCTTGTAAGCAGTGATTTTGTAACCCAAAGTACAGATAAAAAATTACTCATAACAGGCAATAACCAGTATTCACAACAAATCATGGAACTGTCGGCAAAATTCCAAAACACACACTGCAAATTTTTTAAGTTGACTATACGTACGTAAACTGTCATTTCATATGGCACACATTTTTTATTTTTACAAGATGTTATTACATAAGCAATATGTTAAGCCAAAACTGTGTGTGTATGTTACACATATAGTAATCAACAGCCTGATATATATATAAAAACAGACATCTCTTTCAAGCCATTTTTTTTTGGTGATTCTGTAATTTATCTGTTATGGTTACATAAGTGTCTTTAAAAAGTATACAATCAAAGATTTATGTTAACAATACCATTTCACTACTAATTCCAAGCTCACGACAGCATACGTCTACTAGCTGTTTGAAGGTTAGGTTACTGACTGGTAAATCAATTTCAATGAAGTCCAGATCATCTAGGTATGCCACTCGAACTTTTAGGACTAGTTCTGATGATAATGTGGCTATAAAAAAAAGCAATTATTGATCAAATGTTACCTTAATAATGAAAAATCTTATATCAAGAAACACTTTGTAAACATCACAACTTTTTATAGTGACATTACAGACATATTACTGTTTAACTTCCAAAACCATCTTCCCCATCTTTATTGTAGAATCTTTCCTTAAAATAACAAACTACCCAAGAAAAAAAGAATAAGATTTTTTGTCTGTATAATTCTTCTAAAAATTTATATTTATTTCAGACTGAGATAGTGGCTACACATAAAGATATTAATTATAATATTCTAGTTTGTTTTATCTCTATCTTCAACCAAAACCAACTACTCTAACCTCTAGAAAATAAGACTAAGTTCTTCTTTATCAGCCATGTTTAACAAAACAAGAACGATATTAGTAGCACCTCCTTATATATTTCTTCCATCTTGTCAACCCAAATATACAATTAGTCGTGCAAAACGGAACTCTGCTATTTCTGGACATTCTCATTTATCGAAAAGGTGGTCAACTGACCACTGTAGTATATAAACAAAATTACACATACAAACAGATTGTTGCACTACGTACCCAACCATTCGCCGACGAATGGTTAATTGAAGAATCATTGCGTATACGTTTGTCAGAGCCAGAAAAAAATATGCACTGTGAATAAATTGTAGAAATTTATGGAAAAAAAGCTTTTTAAAACAATGGAAAATTAAGTTCTCAACCCCAACAATAAGGCCACTGCAAAACTAAAGTTATTTCACCATACATCCCTAAATTAGGCAAGAAATTCAGGAGATTATGTCACAAGTTCAACATAAAACTTTATTTAAAGTTTGAAAAAAAAACTGTCCAAAACACTTGATAATGGTGAAACAATCCATCGAGTTAAAAAAAAAAAAGTCTATAAAATAATAAGTTTGTGAAGAAATACGTACATTGCATAAATAGGTTGAACCATAGAATAATGACTAAAAGAACACAAGTACACAACTAGACTGACACAACCACCAAAAACTAGCACTGGCAGAACATAATTATGAAACAGACCATATCATAAACTAGGACCAACTTTAAATTTTTCGATACAACTGAACTCACCGTTAGAAAAACAGAAAAATTAACACATTCTTTTACATCAAACTACACCAACTTACTCTAATCCAAGACCATGGCTTTGACCCTGGACATTCTCTCTCTCTCTCTCACCAAAGAACATAAAATGAGTGATAGAACTTACTTCCACGTACAGTTACTTGCATGGAGAAACAAGGGCATCACGGAGCCACGCTAACTAACAGAAAAATGTTACTTCATAGTTATTAACTTCAACTTAGACTGGAAGGAAGCCTCAGTTTCATAACTGAAATATTATCCAATTTTAAAAAAATAGCAGAAGTCAATTTACAAGTCAAATTTTTAGGGTAAGCATTAATAACACAATATTATGCAAGGCTATAAATGGGGGTGTGTGCCACCTCTTCCATTATTTTGAGCCATAGCACACCATCAGTTCATCTTCTGCCGAGTGTCAGCTTCATATATTGTACTATTGACTTCATGCTCGGTTCAGCACTCATTTTTAGCATTTAGTCAAGTGAGCCCTCATTTGTGGTGTTAAGACAGTAAAATTGTAATAGGTTCCAAACTCGATTGATTAATCCGTGGATTATCTCTACATTAGAAGTGTTCAGACACTGTGACGAGATGCTAGTGCATATCTTATCACTTAAAACTGACTAAGATGCATAAGTGAAATATTATTTAACAGCTCAAAATGTTGAAAAATTTCTAAGGTAGAGGCAGAATTTAAGTATAATGTTCTCTGCCTATACTTTCTCTTAAACAAGAAAATATAACCTGCTTTTCCAGTCTGTAATGTTTAAACTTACCATCACATTTATCAGATAAGGCTGATCTGAAGTGGTTTATCTCACACGTATTTAGAGGAGTTTTCTGGTTACCTACATTGCAGTTCTCCATAATATCTTTAGTGTCTACCTGATAGGCCAAAGGTGGATATGCTATGTATCCTGGTGTGATGGCAAGAGTCGGTTTATTATCACTATTATTTTTATCTCCTAGAAAAAAATAATAATAAAAACGTGTTCAATTTCTCAGATAACGTTTGAGACTCAAATGTTCATAAAATTCATTTTAATGATGCAAAGGAAGTTGGGCAAACAAATGACCTAAAATTAACAATAAAAACTATATCATTTCCCATTATCTTTACACATACATCTAGAAAGTGCTTCAAAAACATTGCTAACATTCCTACAAAATAATGAAATATTTCGCTTACAGAATTTTGGGTGTGTGAATTACGACTGAAATGTTTTCTTTTTATAAAACATATTTTGGCTGTTTTTTTTTTTATCAATGTTCATCAGATATTTTATTTTTGAACTGCTAGTCCCTGGTTTTTAAGATTACTGGAACTGGTTTCTGATATATGGCACTATTTCTATTAGTAAACAAACTCACCTCCCAAAAGGCTTCTAATTTCCTCATTCATAGCCACAGCTGCTGGAGTTTCTCCTTTATTTGATGTCCGATAAGTTTCTGCTCCTTGGGACAAAAGATATTTCACTACAGGTGCATGTCCCCTCTTTGCTGCCCAGTGGAGAGGAGTCCTAAATAAGAAAATTATTACGTTCTAAATGTGATACTCACAGAGTCTCCATATAACAGGAAATTTTTAAAAGATATCAACATCTCTTTTTCTGTACAGAACACACATTTTCTGTGACAGTATCTTTAATAATTTTACTGCTAATGTTGAGAGCCAAAAACACCACTGATGACCTAGGGCAGAGTGGTTATAGGAACTTTTTGTTATTTGCTTGGTACTCATAATTAATATTATATATTATTAATTATAATTATTAGTGTAGAAGTTTTTAGCAACTATCCTGGAGAAGTTTCTATGTAGATGAATTTAAAATGGTATTTACTAGTTGTCTGTATACATTTAATCTTAACTTAAAACTAACCACTTAACTACCTTGAGCAGTGCTTCACCTACAAATCTAACTTCAAAACAAAACTTTTAATCTCACCTCCTTTCTCTATTACTAAAATATCATTAAACAGTATAATTTAGACAAGTATAATACTGAATGTCTTTCTTACCATTTCTACTAAAGATGTTCAATTATTTCTTTAAAAGCCCTTCTTATCAACTACCTGATCAGATTCAAGATTTTAGTTATATAACAGTTTTTACTTGATGGTATCAGACATGCCATGTAATTAATATATTTCTTTCTTTCTTTTACTCCCATAATAGTACTTAAGCTTCACTTACAATTTAATTTAAAGTTAAACCACACATCATTTAAAAAATTCAGCAAGCATTTAAGGAGTTAAGGTCCTTTCTTAAGTTATTAATCTTCATCCTTCTATAGTTATGAAGAAAATATTTACTGCATTAACAAGTAGAAGTTACATGTCAATGGTTTGATTCATATTGTTTAAAACTATAATACCAAATCAATTATGCAAACCACCTATTTTTTTGCATTACAACTTAAGCACAGAATAGAAAACACAAGTTGTTTAATAAAAGTAGTTATGAAAGGTATAATGTGTCAAGCCAATTGTGAAAATGAAACAGTTTTGATAACCATAATGTGCGGCAAACTTTTAGCAAACAAACTGGTCCTTAAATGCTAACACCATTTATCAACTGATGAGTGATATTAACAGATTTTGCTGAAATAATAACAAAATTCATTACAATCTAGAAACGTAGCCTACCTATTTACTTTTTCATGTCTATTTACTCATCATCATTGACTAATGTTTATGAATATTGCTTCATTCAGTGTTATGAAAAGCAATAATAAAAATCCTAGTCAATGAGCTTATCTGTTATCAGTAACTAGAATACTATCACATTAGTTAATTTACTCCACATTTTTAAGTTTAACACGAAAGAAATGAAAAGCAGAAAAAGTAATAAGAAAAACGAAATCATATTTTGAAAAAAAAAGTGTTGCATAACTGGTTACGACATACGTTCAGTATTTAATTCTAACTAGAGTCTATATTGCTTCACCTTTAAAGTTCAGTGTTTTTATAACTTTTGTTACTATTTTAATAAACAAGTTGCTTACAATATTGCACTGATCATAAAACAAGTCCACCACCCCTTTCTCAGAACCTTTCTTATAATGCATGACTTATTTACTTGAGAAGTAGGAATTCATGCGATTAATTTTTATGAAAATGAAATACAAGTAAGACGAATAGTACAGATAGAAAAAAAAGGAATAAAGAAATAAAATCAAGTAATCTCACCATCCATTTATATCATGTTGTGTATTAATATTTACTCCCTTTGAAAGCAACAACCGAATTGATTCTTCATCACCATAACATGCTGCTTCTCTCAGTTTGTCCTCAAGCGATTTTTGAAGTTCCATCTTATTTAAAGTGACAAACGCTGATCATACACTTCAATAAATATAACGCCCTCTGTGAATGTCTACATGTTCATTTTAATTTTCACTGTTTACATTTGTGTTATATTTAAGTTCAGAGGTTGGTGCTGAAACCTTTTAAAAATCATCTTTTTTTTTCCCACTCGGATTAAGACATGAGTAATCACGACAAATTTCTCAGTCAATGAGATGATCCATTGCAATTTCACGGAACTAAGTAGAGTTGCTTTTCTATTACAAAATATAACGAGTTTTGTATGATGATTAGATAAATAAAAGTTATACGTAAATGTATTTTCATACTTGCATACATTGTTACAATTATGAATGTAAACAAATTTGAACTCGTAATGGACTTATTAAGAAGAATGTATAAAAATATCATCTGCAGTATACTGGAACTTTCATCACTATTATAAGGTATATTGTCTGCATTGTTTTCAGAATTAGATAATAATAGAAGCTATCATAATAAAAATTTCAGTTATGTATTCTTGCACGGATTATTGTTTAAAATGAAAGTGGTAGCACTTTATCGGGCTTTATTATATCGTATTTTTATGGTAGTTTTGAAATTAATGTAGATATATTTGGAAAACTTTCTAGTTATAATTATGACACTTTTCAAAACAATAATTTATTAAATGAATTGACTTGATAATGTAATCAGTTTCCATAAATATATAACACTCATTTTTTTACAGTTAAGAATTTTTATAACTCTGGTTTATTGGTTTTACGTGTACTCCTCTTTAATAAAATCTGGTACATCAAAATGAAATATTTTAAAATTACCTATACCTTCATTGGTATGTGCCGTCTACAAAAATGAGTAAATCTTTCATTAAAAAGAATGAAAAACACAAATAATTGATAGTAGAAAATGTTTTTTTAATATACTCCGATTGACATTCAGGGCCTAATCTCTTTTTCCGTAAACTTAATTTATTACAAAATAATTGCTCTTGAATTTATATGTAGATTGTATACTTTAAAAGCATGAACCAAACACTCAATTATAATAAATAGTTTATGAAGTCTTTTTAAATAATTAATTATTTTATTTCGGATCAAGGCATTTTCTCTTTATTATAATATAAACAATTTTTACTTTAGGAATTTTAAGGTTGACACAAAACATTTTCTTGGAAATAATCTTACCTGTCTATATATTAATCTCTGCAAACTTTTTCAATTTTAACTATGTTTATCATAAACTTATGTCATGCCAGTAACACCTTTTATGTAAACAGTGAGAACAGTTTTAGAGTGATAACACATAAATCACCGATTTAAAACTCTGAAGAGGGAAAAAAATTCTACACAGATTACCGATAGGTAGCGTTTTTATCATCAGTTTCTGGAGTTATCTAGGACGATAAAAACCGTTTATAACTGAGGGATTCACTTTTTCTAAAGGTATCAAATTAGAAGGATCGAGATAGCGTTCGTTATTGAATGTAACTAGTTGTTGACTATTGTAACTGCTTATTGTTAAGCTTATCGCTATTTCAGAAAAGTGCATTTTAGGCTTATATGTGGAACTTGTTACTTAAGCCTAGTTAGGTCAATAGGCTTAAGTAAGGGATTTAGTTTAGTTTTTATGTTAAAAACGTTATGGATGTTCAAGCTCTAGTTAGGCCTAAATTTTATAAGTTGTCGGTGCGTAAGTAACTAACGTTAAAGTGACATTTTAAGTAATTACCTAAATTATTCATTTTTAAGTCTTCATTATTGACATTTGTTATAATTATCGTTTAGTTCTGCTGTAACTTTCATTATTTTCAATAGTCCAAAACTGTTACTGGTTGATTATTTTGTTAATGTTATTTCTACTAATACTAATAATTTTAATTGTAGTTGTAGTATAAACTATGAGTATAAGCATAATAATAATAAAAGTTTTATTTTATGAGAAAACTTAACTGAAGTAATTAACACACTGACATTTTAAATGTATATATTATGAATTAATTGTTTTATTTGAAGAGCCAGTAGAAATGGCAGAAGTAGCACATTTTACCATATTACTGTTATAAGTTTATTACTGTAGTAATAATGATAACGGATCTCCACGAGTCCGATATTTATGAAATGATCAAAGGTAATGGTACAGCCTAATATAAATGTAGCTAATGTCTTGTGCATTGACATCGGTGTTGATGATGGGTGTGTGTGTGTGTGTGAAAATTTAATCACAAACCTTGATGATCACAAGTACTCATGCTTAATGAAAATGTACTTGTTAAGGGTATTAATTAAATTTATAAAACCAGTTTTTAAATATTCGTGTAACTTATCCATCTAAAAATGCAACTTAAAATATTAAGTATTATTCATCCAGATATCATTAGTCCAATAGCATACCAGTATTATTGTGTTGGTGGTGAGGGGGGTGATTGTGTATGTTTTTGAAAGATATCCATTACAATATTCAAAATTGATTTAATAAGGTGAAATATTTAATTAAAAAAAACTAAGTAAAATTTTGTGTAACTACATTGGGAAGGAAAGAAAATGACTTCTATCTATCTATAAGGAAATAAAAGTATCAACACAGGTGGGTAATGTACATGTAACTGGGTGTTATTTTCTTAGTGCTATGCTTCATATTTAAAACAGTATGCAGAAATTAGTAACAGAATACGTATATATCCAGGAGTGAGGTAGTTTTTAAATTTCCTATATTGTGTGTCACTGATATTTTCCTGCCTCCTTTATGACCTAAAAACATCAGTCTGTACATCAAATATTAAGGCTTTAGACTGTTCTTGTATTTAATTTAATGAATTTAATTATTTGCTTGGCTAACACTTAGAAAATTCCTTTTACTCATAACTAATACATGCCTTTTATTTTAGATAGAGCTGGGAATTTAGGAAGATTTGGTAATCAATTAATTGTTGGACTCGTTAATTGATTATTTCAATGTGAGATTTGAATAATAAAAATGGTAATAATAGGGAATACTAATTTCTATAAATTATTTTTGTAATATTTATATATTTAATTTAACTTGTGATTAATCATATTTGACACTAACCTCTGCATTTGATTACATTGAGTTAATAACCCAACTTTCATCAAAATATTATTATGTAACCTCTTTTGGTAAACTAGGTAAAGTTAATGAGGAAAAAGACCCTAAGTATAGCTATCACAGAATCTATTAAAGCTTTCTAGATAACATGTGAGCTAGTAATAATGCAAACAGGATCTTGAGTTTTATACATAGAAAGTTAAAGGTTTTTGATTTGTTGTACTTTTTAAATGATATGAGAGCTATAGTATTTCAAAATGTTGATAAACCTGCCCTAACTAGAGCTTGAATATGGAACCTTAAACTTCTGCTATTGTTCTGAGGCTAATACTCTACCATGTTGCTGAACTACCAGGACTCAAGTCACATGAAGGTCACCCCAGTCCTGACTGTTACACAGGGAATATTTAATTCAAATCAAAATATTTCTGCTGTGCAGTTTGTTTTCACATTTGCTTAAAACTTAATCTCCTTAATTGACATTTTTTCCAAATACAAATAATGTCTAAAACAGAGGTTCCCTGGTGGCTGAACAGTAAGTTTCTGGATTTACTATGCTAAGATCCAGGGTTTGATTCCTCATAGCAGACACAGGAGATGATCCATTATGTCTTTGCTAAAAAGGCATCTGGAACAGAGAACAACTTATTCTAAAACTTGTATAAAAATGTAATTGATAACATACGTTTAGTAATTGTTTCTCATTTTACACCTACATATATTATAAGTATTCCACTGTTTCAAAAAGAATATTTAAAATGGTGCTCTTAAAAGTACTGTAAAGCTGCAGTATAATCGTGTATCTAATCTTTTAATATTTACTATTACAAATTGTATTTTATATACAATTAATTTTGATTAGGGAACCGGTATTTTTATTTCATTCCATTTTATGTATTAATCATTTGTACATACCATTAGTTTACTTGTGCTTGATGCATTAACCTTGCATACTTAATAATCAGTGTTTTGTAGTTTCTTATCTTGAGGCTTGTTAAGATAAGTTTCCAACTTATCTACTTCAATTCTGTAATTTTGTTTAGAAAAGGCTCACTTTCTTCCATTGGTTTCTTGTTTATATAATATGGAGCAAAAAAAAGATTTAAAATAAATGTCTCAAAACTCTCTGAGAAGATAGTTATGATGATTATATGTTATGTTGCATACTAAATTGGTAGTTTTTGTTGTTGTTGAAACAGATATCTGAAGATAACTTTCACTGTTTTCACGTGGTTATAATGCTTGTACTTAATGAATAACTGCTAGTGTAAATCTTGTCTTTGACTGGGGACAGAGCTGATAAATAATTCAGAAAATTTAATACAGGCTTGTCAGTTTAATTTTTCTCATTGAAATTGGATGATTGTATTGAAGAGTGAATTGACAGCAATACTCATTAAGCTTATTTATCCTGTTTTATATCTGGTTTGTGTCCTTGTTTTTCATAAAGGATTGAACAAAAAGGATCAGTGGATTAGATTTGAACATTTCATTATTCGTGTAGCTTGTACTGGTTGGCAAAGGTGCTAATTCAGGAAGCTGAAAGGCTTAGTGAAAGGTAAAAAAATTTAAAGACTTTGTTCACCGTATGTAAAGGAAAAGGATTCTTTTGGTATGAAATGTGCAATATTGTGGTTGTATCTTCAAAGTGACGAGGTACTTGGAGAGGTCTTTATTTGTGATTGGTATAAATTTATTTTAATTTACATGTTTTTTATAGTTGTATAGATGCGAAAAAAAACTATTTAAATGATTAGTATTAAGCTTGTTTGCTAAGGTGACGGAGAAGTCTTGTGATACCTTGTTTGTTCTTACAGACGTAGATAAGGTTCAGGTTCATCTCTTAATGTGTGAGGAATGTTTTTAGTAGGTCATGTTTAGTCATCTTCATGTGACTTTATAAAGATATCTCTTAAAACGTATTTGTGTTGACACAATAGGATTCTATTGTGGATTTATTTGAAGTACTAGTAAGGTGTAACCAAAGTTTTACCCTGTATGAAGAAAAGCTTTTCTAATGGTAGTTTCATCGGAGATCCTTGTGGCAATAAGCTGTTTTAGAAAATCTGTATACCAAAAAAAAAAACCTTGATTGTTCTGCAACTATATAACTTATAAAAGCAGGTGATTTAGCCTTAAACTGTGGAAGTTGTTCTGGTAACTTTGGCTGAAGTTTATTCTCTTAGAATTCTAGACCATGCTTAAATGGACCCGACAGTTTCCATATGAAATATCAACACTCTTACGTGACAATGTTTCTTTGATCTATAAACCTTGTATTCCCTCATGTCTATACACGTGCGTCATAGCTGAATAATACAGATTAAGGTAATGTTAAAACTACATTAACTATTCTTGTACCTAGAAATGTAATTACTAGCTTTGTGCTGTACATAGCTTACAAATTTGGAGTTTCTAGAGCATGGTAAAGTTTTCTTATGTTTATAACTTAAATGGGCTACCACCGACACCTTTATTTTTTCACCATTGTGTACTTCAATAAATACTTGTTTTAAGACCTAGAATATGATATTCTACATGATAGACATAATTTATTAGTTTGTATTTTTCAGAAGGAACAAGTATGATGGCTTAAGCAAAAAAAAAACAATATCAAGTTGCTCATACAAAATCTTCCACATCATAAAAAAGGCCACTTTTAAGTGTTTGTATGGTTATTTAGCCAGCAACCAAACTTCAGTTAGAAGAAAACGGGCAATTCAGTCTTTTCTAATGGCGCTAGCAGGTATGTGTTTATTAATAGATGAATTTAAGTACTATCAAATCTTGGATACTGCTAGCTTGTTTTCTCTTTAGTAGTTTGTGAGAAACAAGACGTTGTCAAGATTCTGTTTTGAAATTGATGGCTATCAGTTTGTAGTTTAACGTATTGCATTCAAGGCCAAAATACACAAAATATGTATAGTAGGGATATCTTGCAAAAGTATATTGTACTTAAAAGGTAAATATTTGTGATATGTCATTTTTAATCTATAAATATATCTTTATGTAGTGATATTTAAATAGAATCATTTTAAACGTTTGTCAAAGGTGAGACATCTATGAAATTTAACTTGAGTTAAAATCAGTAAATGAAGTTAAGAACAGAATGTATAACTATGATCGATACTTATGTTTATTCATTGTATTCAAACAAACAGGTTTATTTAGGACTTATGAAAATGTGATAGAAACTATAATGGTAATGAGTTCAAAGAGCAGGAAAAAATTATACCAGAAACGGTTATTGTCAAATATAAGTTATTTCCTCAAGTATAGGGTTAATATAAATTTTGCTATCAAGATATTTAAACATATTTTACATAAATTCCATGATATTTGTTTTTAATTACCTTGTTTTGTATTAAATATTAATAACTTATCATGATCTCAAGTTGTAGGTTGGTTAATTTAAATGAAAAGTTGAGAAATGCCGATAGTTTAAAATGTATTTGTTCCAGGAAGAAGAAAAGCTCCACCATTGGTGATTAAGCCGACCGATCACGGTTCTTCTCGTATGTAAGTGAAGTATTTGAATGTACAGAGTGCAAAACTTGGCTCTCATATTTCATAATTTTAAACGGGTGCCCAAATGAAAAAAATATATATATTAATGTTTACCTTTTTGTTAATTGAATATTCTAAAGTTAGCTGTTCTAAGACAAGGGATTTGCTGTAATATTTTATACTAATCTTGCACTTTAACAGCTACTGGGCAAAACCACACATGTCTTGTGGTTTACCAAGAAAAC